GTGAAAGACCAGCCATCACAGTGTCCTGCCGCTACGCAGGACAGCGAGCTCAGCAACGATCCCGCCGAGTGTGTGCTGTAGTTAGAGGAAGTCGACGGATTGGTCATAACGTAAACGGCCTCGTGGACTACGTAACGGCATTTGGACCAATCTGCGAGCCGAATTACGTAACTCACTATACCCGAAATACGTCATATACCCCCAAGAAGTAAACAATGGAGAAAAGAGAAATCTCCAACTGAGTGCGTTCTGGAGAATGCATAAGACAGTTCTTTTCTAGTAGTTATGGAGTTATACTCCTACAGGGTGTATTTGAGGTTGTGGACTCTGCAGAACCGTTTACATGCAGAAAAAACCTCATAAACACAAGGAGGAAACGGGTATAACGGAAAGCATGACATGGTGGTACCTTTAAACTGCATTAAAGTGTGGCCTTAGCCTTGTTTCTGAAGGGTCGTTAATATAGAGTGGGAATTCTAAGGCCAACTAGAACCAAACAACCAAACTACACAAAACACACCCCAGAATGGACCCGATTTAGTTCTTGCTCCAAAAAGACGCACTGGAAACAACCGCAAAGACTTCAGGAACGGCAAGTAGCAACGTAACGGCACATTACCAGCAAGCGGCGGTAAGTGTGAAGGAATTCGTCATAATCAAAAGAGACAACCGGAAGAACAGAACTGCTGATATTATATATAACAAAACAAGTACATAATACCCAGCGTCTAAAATCGCGTTCCGTTTTCACGATCTCGTTCCATCACTATGACTGTTATCACACAAGATTAAAATAACGAAAACATGTTTAAATAGAAAGTATCAATAAGAAAACAAAATGAAAATATAGTCCTCTGGTGTGTCCTTCTCACTTCCGTTTCAGCTTCTCATGCCACTGCATTCACTAAGATCTTGAAAACAGCCCCAATCAAGAGTGATTTTTCTTTTTGGGCCAGTGCCAGACATCTAATCTGACGGCCGAAAATCTGTCCCGGTGTGGTCCGCGGGCCTTTAAGTTGAGGGATTGTGTCTTTTGTTTCTCAATGACCATTCACTGTCTTTCTCCTTGGTAGTTAAAGGCAGATTGTTATTTTACTAGAATTTGTTTGAGTTACCTCCTTTAAATCTATAAAACTGGGTTCAGAGAGCAAAACCATTATATATTATTGACTAGAAAAACTACGTATAAATAGAACAAACATAACTCACAAAACCACATGATACATAATTCTACAAAAAAGAGGAGGATGTCGCCAGTATTACTTTAGAAGTACTCGATATTATACAATCACCAACTTATTCGAAGACCAATCAGCGGGAGGAAAGTTCCATTGTTAGAAAGCCTACTTTTATTCTGTCGATTCAGGAAGTTTGAGAAGGATTTGAATCAATTCACAAACAACGACGCTGCGTGAGTGAAGCTCTTGGGTTAAAAGAAGTTGAGGAATTCAAACTAACTGCCTCTGCGAATTAGTGTTAGATTTTGTCCAGACTATTTTTTTATTTGTTGAATCGTAGTTAGGTCCTTGTGTCAAATATTTCTTTTTAGTTTTTAGTCTTGTCCCTTTCATCCATGTTTATGTTAGTCTAATTGTTTAGTGACTTCTGGCTTTAGTACATTATTTTATCAAAGAAAACTAACTAGTTTTTGTCTACTTTTTGATAGAAACTGGTTTGACTTGAGTCTTTTTGCTCAGATTTATCACATTCAGATCAAACTAGTCTATGCCAAAACGCAATAGTTTGTCATTTTAGTCAAAATTATATCACAATAAGATCGTATCATTAGCCATTATTTGATGAAAACCACGAGGTTAATAGATGAAGAAAGGTGCTATGCTTGCAAGGAGTATCTGGTCAGGTTGTGGTTGTGTTTTACCGCGTGTTATGGCCTTACATTGCTCCCTTCCTTGGATAAAACTAATGCAGTGTTGTTTTTTCCGAACGTGCCGCCTATGGTAGTCGAAAATGGGCCCAATATTCGCAGGTGGTTATCGTTTCTTTCTCCCCAGTGCTCAGTTGGTCGGTCTGTGGTAAAATGAGCTATTTTGTCTGTGTGTGTTCAGTCATTTTGACGGACATGAATCGTAAGATTTGCCGTCAGGTATATCCATTTATTACTTCGTACACGTCGTCTGTACAGAATCGTCAATGACCTAGCGCGCTATACGGGGGGGGACAGATTCGGATTACGGCGGACCACTGCTCCCCGACTGTGCCCTGTTGAGATCCGATGCTTCCTGACCGTTCATTGAGTGTGCCGCTGCCCGGCATTCAAATACCGTAGCCGGGCGCAGCACAGACACACACAGCTGACTGCCCAGCGCAGCACCGGAAATGGAAACCGCTGGGAGAAAAAGGACATCAGATGAACCGTTATCTTTTGATAATATTTGTTCTCCTCCTTCTTTGTCAACGAAATAAAAAAGAGATTTTAGCAACAGTTTTTATTTAGAAAACTACATTTCGTCTCGTCACTTTTCGTCAACGGATATTTGCATGTTGATTTCGCTACAGTTATTGTTTACTGACGTCAGTGCCATCTCTTCATCGTCTCGTCTTAGTCATGGGAAAAAAGGTAGTTGACGAGCATATTTCGTCATAGCTTTAGTCTATGGAATTAACACTACTGCTAATCCAATGTCAGGTAGAACACCCTGTGATGTTTGTATTACAGTTTATAAACGACCATGGTGCCTTCGGGTACCTGCAGACCGCTGAGAGCCAGGCGCAGAAGCTTCATCACTTCTCCGTACTTGATGCCTTTCGTTTGCTTCACCAGAGTCTTCAGATCTTTACTGAGTCGATCCACCGTGAGCTCCTCGCCGCACTCTGCTATCAACCTGCAACACACACACACACACACACACACACACACACACACACACACACACACACACACACACACACACACACACACACACACACTCCTGTAGTTATCATCTAAATCTAATCTTGGGTTATAAACTTTCTGAAGCCACATGAGGTCATGTGAGTTTCTGACTGTCTTTTGGTTCCAATTGAAAAATGATGATTTATTAAACAATAAACTCCAGTAAAACTTTCCAGAAAAAACAAGCTATTAATCCAAAATCCAAATATAATAATGTGCAAAAATACTTAAAACAATGTACCAAATAATGTGATCTAATATATAATATCATATATAAGCACTAAATAATGTGGTTGTAAAACTGTAGGCCTTTCACCATCTAACCCAAAATCACAGTTACACGTATAGTATTTGAGTATTTCCACCACATCTAAACATGCAGTTGGAGACTTTAAATTCGACATACTTGAGCACTAGAGCAGCGATGTGTTGAGCCTCTGCAGTGATCGCTGCCACCTGCTGGCTGGAGACAGACGGACGAACCCACAGGTAAGAGTAGGCGGGACCGACAAGCTCCTTCAGAGAGGAGATGTGACCCTGCAGAGAGGAAGAGGACGGCTTCAGTTTGAGTGGAGACACACGTGTGGAGCAGTGTTAAGACATAAGAGCAGAGGCCACATCGAGAGTCCCTTAGGAGAAGACAAAGGGTCAAAACAAAATAGAAATGTTATCGAGTTAGTAATTCTGAAAACATGGATCACTTTTTTGCATCAATACAGTTTCATCATGCTTACTATATTAACAATCTTTCAGCGTCTAGCGCAGGGGTGTCAAACTAAATGTCATTGCGGGCCACATCAGCATTATGGTTGCACTCAAAGGGCCGGTTGTAACTTTAAGACTATACAAGTATACATATATAAATATATTAAAGAATTTATTATATTACATTATTGGCTCTGCATTAGATTATTATCAGTTTTGGTAATAACTTCATAAACAACTACGTCTGAAAGCAGAATTCTTGGGCAAATAATTGAAAGCAAATATTCAACAATTACACAATTGTCTATTATATTCTTTGCAAGCTCTTGCGGGCCACATAAAATGAGGTCGTGGGCTGTGTGTTCAAATATATCATTTGAACACACAGCAACATGGTATGAATACCAATGTGTAAAGTCTGCTGTTAGTTACCTTACGAAGGTGCAGCACCCGTCTGATGTAATCCTCCTGCAGGACTTCCTCCTGCATCTCTTCTCCACACACCTGCTGGATCTGTGCCTGCAGACCTTTAATCAGCGTCGCACACTGCTCCTCATCTTCTATGTGGTGCTGCAGGTGAATTCTGCCACAACCACACAGATGACTTTCTTTATAGGAACAGAAATACAGCACAAGATAGACGGACAGAGACACAGACTCAGACTCACCTGTTGAACTCTGGGAGTTTCTCCAGGTCTAAGAGCGCAGAATGTGTCGTGATCTTTGAAGGATTAAACTCGGCGATCAACTCATCTATCCTCCGCCCAATTCCAATGGCTGTAAAGAGAGTTCAATCATTAAGAAGAATGCAATCGACTAGGACTAAGGGATATGGAAAGGTATAACTATTGCAAATACTTTGGCTGATATTGCAACTGCGATATTATTCACGATATTGGAGGAGGGGGGAATAATTTTGCATCATTGAAGGATATATTTAAAATGATCATGGTGTGGTTTCTTTTAAGAGGATCAGAACCAACGAAATATATTTGATTAAATCTGTATTAAAAATAATATGCATTACATTAATGCACAGTATGCTCTTTTAACAATTTACACATTTCTGCTCCACACTACCTCTCTTTAAATCTGCACACCTCTCCACTTTGAACATAGTATTTGTCCTTTTCTATTTTACTGTACTCAGTTTCTTACATATTTATATTTTTATAATATTGTCTTTATTTTTTACATTAGTGTTTAAAATATATTTAAAACATTTTTTTACGATAGTCACTTTTTTTTCTCTTTTTATTTATTCATTTTAAAAACAACGTATTCTTCTTTCTGTGTCTTTGTATGCACCATTTACACCAAAGGAAATTCTTCTTGAACTTAATTGGTGATAAAACCGATTCTGATTCTGATAAGACTTGTAGGCGAGGAAATCTCTGCAGCATCACAATACTTTAGTCAGAATATGATATACACATATTTTGCCGGTAAAAAATATTGCACGTCCTTCCATTTGAATATTGCATTAGCCCATAATTGATTTTGATTTAATTTTGAATAAATGTGCAACACTATAATCAAAAGTATTTTTTTCTCCCCCTTACTTGCAAATGACAGTTTCACAATTTTATTTTAAATCCAATATATGTTTTACTTGAACCTTGACCATTAAAATAGAAAATAAAGGAAAAGCATTGAAGAGTTGAACTTAGGCAGCAGCACTTGGTCTGGCTGGTTTAAAGGGAATATGTCAGCCCTTTTCTTGCTGTCCTTAGTTTGAAGCGTTTTGGTTTATAGCCTTTATTGTACATTGGTTTGTATAAAAGCATCAGCTGGATGAAATGTAATGTAACTGATGCATGCGGTCCCTCTTCATCCCCTCTCTGATAACCCCTCCTTCACTCACTGTTGAACCCCGAGCCGCAGCTGGTGGTGATGTCCAGCAGAGCCTCGGGCAGTACTCCGTCCCTCTGGAAGCTTTGGAGGAAAATGTCCCCCTGCCTCTTGGACAGTTTGCTGCCGTTTTTGTTCAACAGGAGCGGCAGATGTCCGAAGGTGGGCGGCTGCCAGTCGAGGGCTCGGTACATGAGGAGGTGTTTGGAGGTGGAGATGAGCCACTCGGACCCCCGCAGCACGTGGCTGATCCTCATGTAGTGATCGTCTACGATGTTAGCCAGGTGATAGGTGGGAAAACCGTCTGCTTTCATCACCACAGGGTCTCCCTCCACCTGGGAAAAGACAACATGGGGTATGAAAGCATAATGAAGCATTTTAAATGTTATGGTTATCTTTCACAATAGTGCTGCTCCAATTTCAATTCATATTTTTTGACAGTCATTTGTTAAATACTTATTATTTTGTATTTGTGTACATTTATTTCTTGCACACATTTTTTGATTCAATAATAGTTTTCACAATATATATTTTGGGCAATAAACCTGATTTTGAATGACAGCTATACGATGTTTTCAGGGGGGTTTTGTAGCAACAAAAGCATCTGTTAGGTCTCTCTGCCTCTATTGAAATGTTTAAATTGTTTTTATTTGACATTGATAGCTACTATTTTAGGTTTTCAAGAGACACTATGAATATCTGTCATTATAATTCATGATTTTGTAGGCCTGGAGGAAATAAAAACATCCTCCAACAAACATACATTTTCAATATTTGAGATGTGGAAGTCAAATGAAATGTGTGGAAAAGGAGAATTGTCGGTCATTACATCTGAAATGATGTGTGACTTTTTCCTACAATATTCATTTGTAACTCCACTAAACACTGCAGATCTGACCTGGGCCACCTCGTGATGACTCCGCCCACAGATCAGATCCTGAAAATGCTCGACACCTTCTTCCAGACGAAACCGGATCACACGTGGAGCTCCTTGATCCAGCTTCTCCTGGACCTGCTCAGCCCGGAGGTGCCGACACCGGTTATCATACCTGAGTGGGAAAAAGACACAGCTGCTGTAAATCTGAGAAAAACACCCTGAAGTCTGGCTGAAATATGATAACATGTTAATAAGATAAGATGGAACTTTATTTATCTCCGTGGGGAAATTCAATAAAGATAAAATTGAATAAAAATAAAAATAATAATTTAAAATAAAGCGATAAAGTAACTGTTAAAAAAATATCACTCGTCACCGGCTTGAGCTTCAATAATCAGGATACATGTATTTATTATCCTTGCAAGAATGGAAGTAGTCATCACATACAGAGCATTTGGTACGACTAGTTCCTGAACAGTGTAATGGAAGTAGTCATCACATCACATATAACAGTAACTGTTGAAACAAGATATCACAGTAAAACGTAAATCATGTGAGCATCAATGTTATCCACCTGGGTGTCTGTCCGTTCCTTAAAGCCTCTTTTTTGAGCAGGTCGAGTCTCTGAGAGCTGCAGAAACAGTAGTAGGCGTGTTTGCTCTCGATCAGCTGTTCTGCGGTCTGACGGTAGAGCTCCAGCCTCTGGGACTGCAGGTACGGACCCACCGGCCCCCCCCGACGAGGACTCTCATCTGGAGGGACGCCTGGAGGGGAGAGGGGGCTTAGTTACAATTCAAAGAACAACCGTGGGGATATACAGTCGTTTTCCTCATCTCACATTTAGAAAATGAATGATGTCACTAATAGAGCGGAGCAGGGACGACGTATTTTTGTAGGCCGACCCGGAAGTAAGCTGCGCATGGGTTCCCTCGACAAAAAAGCAACGGGATTTATTTTCTTATTTTTCTGATCTCCATAGGATTATTCCAAAATCCTATGGAGATCAGAAAAATAAGATCTGTGGAAAACAAACCTGTTTGATAAATGCACGTTTTGTTCAGCCGGATAATCTCCACATGTCTACCCTACTTATATATTTTTTTATAACTAGATTTATGATCGATAGATTTAAAAGAATGGTACAATATTCCAAAATCCTCTGGAGAAATCCCGTTGCTTTTTTGTCAAGGGAACCCATGCGCAGCTTACTTCCGGGTCGGCCTACAAAAATACGTCATCCCTGCACCACTCTATTAACAGCTTGTATAAAATGTACTTATGTTATTCAAAACAACATTTTGTTGTTAAACAAAGTTTTGTTTGACCTGTGTGCTGATACTATAGACCCATTGACTCAAAAACAGTATACATCTCAGTGTTTCCCATACATTGATTTATTTGTGGCCAATTAAATATAATGTCGTTTTTTTTTTGTGGTCTATGGATAGTGAGGTGGGCTGATGATCGGAAGGTTGTGAGTTCAAATCCCGCCTGGAACACCAATACTAGTGTGCCTTTGAGTAAGGCACTTACATTCTGCTAAATGCCTAAATTGTAAATGATATTTTTGGGAGAATAAACCCTAAAGATCCCCAACTCCGGTGTGTCTCACTCATTAACAACGAAACACAAAGCAACAAGAACGTTGTCTACAGTAGCCATGAACTTGCATGTATTTTCTTATTTGAGGGAGGGGTGGATACGTGGGCCACCCAAACTTTTCTTGCCGGGAGGGGGTGCGAATAGAACAAATAGAATCAAATTCTGTGGGAAACACTGCATCTCATGACTATAGTCCAGAGTATATATTTTCCTTAAATATCAATCAAAAGTTTAATTATTGTTAAGAACAGTTGTCCTTGTCATATTGTACTTTAGTTAGAGCCTTTTATTTTGTATCCGTAAATAAAAAATTGAAATCAATGCATATTTTATTCCATTCTATTTCAATGTAAATACTGCTTTATTTTAACTATATTTGTTCTCCACCTGTGTTTTTTAAATGTTTGCACCACGACATCAAGTCAAATTCCTCGTACGTGTCAACCTACCTGGTAATAAACCCGTTTCTGATTCTGATTCAATGTTTTCCCTGCAGTATTGGATATCTATACTTTGTAAGGTGTTGTATCAAGTTCATAAGTTCCAGTTTCCTGACACCATCCCAGAGTTTCCTACCGGCCCACTCCAGCATGTCCTCGATGGACTCGGCCGCTCCGGGCACCAGCCGGCTCTGATCCGTGTCCTCCAGGCGCAGGACGAACGAGCCTCCATACTTCTTTGCAAAGATGTAATTATAGAGAGCCGTTCGGAGGCCGCCGAGGTGAAGGAAACCTGCAGCAGAGAGAAATATATTGTTATATTTAATATCTGCAATTGAGTTTCTAATATCCCTATGTTGATCTTTTGTATTTAAAATATTCACTTAAAAGGACACCTATTATACTGTATTACAATATATTATAGGTCTCAGATATATCCAGAACATGTCTCTGATTGGCTGAAACACCAAACTGATCATTCCAGCATCCCATAATCCCCTCTGTTTCAGCCCTGTTTCAAAGGTGCTGATTCTCTGTCTGTTACTTTAGATGAAAATAAGGAGCCCCTCCCCACGCCCCTCTGGGAGAGATTTGGTTAAAAAGAACACAATGGTGCTCTAGGAGGAGATTCAGATGATAAGGTGTGTGTGGNGGGGGGGGGGGGGGGTTAGGGTTAGGGTTACCTTGGTTGGTGATTGGCTAATGGTTACACAAGCCAAAAAATCGTTATAACATCATAAAGTGGCCAAAATCTGATCAGCTCATTTTCAGACAGGTTTTTATATAACTGGATCAGGACGAAACGAGAGAGAATCTTTTTTCCTGAAGCTTTCAGAATCTCTTTACACAGCGGGGACACATGTTGATGTAGAAGAGACATGAAGAAGTGGATTTTGCATAATAAATGACCTTTAAAATAGAAGAAGCACCCAAATCGAACAAAATAGAGGTGTGTTGTGTCCAGTGTAGTAATAATATCTGGTATGGATTGGTAAGTCAATGGGTCACATGAACTCGAAGCTATTGAAAGAAATCAAGTATTTTTGATTAAAAAAAATGCAGATTTTTCATTCAAATACTATTCATATCGAAGAGAAAAAGCACTAAAATCCAATAAAAAAGAGGTGTGTCCTATGTCTCCAGTGTAATAATACAGTGTTGCATTGATTTTGAGTCCTGAGGTCACATGACATGAAAGCTATTTGAAAAACTGAAATTATTTCCTGTTAAAATACTTAAAATGTAAATCAATGACACATCAGTAATAAGAAACAGGCTTACCACAACAAGCAACATTAATTAGATTATTGTGAGAAGGATTTCACTTATATGAGCAAGTAAGCAAGGGTGTATTGAAAGTTAACATTGTTTTTCTTCGGTTATTGAAACAGTAATGTATTGATAGTCCCTAAGCAAAAACGTGGTTAAAATCAAGGGTTCAGAAGAGAGCTAACCTCTGACTGTCTGTGAAACTGAGAAAGATGTCTGGAGTGCCAAATATCCAACCTCAAACTAACTTGGTTTATTATTTATCAGAAGTCCAAAATGAAACGAAGGTAAGTTTGACTGGTCTTTGATGTATGTATGTATGTTTGTATGTTTAGAGGTAAAGATAGAGAGTTGACAGACACATTGCGCACACTTTCTAGATATCCCTCTGGATAACCTTACAGGAAAGTTTAGCAATAATGCATTTAGGTTGATGATCTTACCTGTGGGACTGGGTGCAAACCTGACTCTGACGTCCCCCTGCACCGTGGAGCAGCCTCTCGTAAACAGAGTGTTTCTGACCGCAGTCACACATCGGAAACATCTCCGAGTCAACATATTAGCGTGTTAACCAACCTGCATTGTTTTGGACGATAGTGCGATAATGGTATAAAGCGTTATTATCCTAAAAAGTGTCCCTCACATGTGATGAAAGACGTTTGTTTGGGTCAAGTCATTTTCTTCTTCATCGAAAAACGAACCGGAAGTAGACCACGGCAATCACTGCCATCCAGTGGAGGACCGCGGAATGTCTTCTTCTACTACTTCAGAGAAACTCCTCTACTGTAACTTCACTCATAAAACAAATGTGTTTCTTTTTGTTTTAATGCAATATTTAAGGACAGCATTTTCTTGTAAGACATACATCAAGGAACATGGCGTTATTCCGTCTGCCGGCCACAAATATTTTGCACATTTTGGAGTCTGCCAGGGGCGTAATGAAGTGAAGTGCATTTACTCAACTGTAAGTACGATTTGGGGGAACTTGCACTTTGCTTAAGTAGTTCTATTCTCTGCTGGTTTATGCTTCTACTCCACTACAATTTGGAAGCCTTTTTACTCAACTACATTTACTTGACCAACATTAGTTAGGCCACTAGTTACTTTCCAGATAAGGACTATTTAGCTAATACAACATATAAATAAACTACATGAACTACTATGTAATTATAGGTCAATATATCCAGTTACTATATAAAGTAATGAAATTATCTCCACCTTTACCAGCAGTGAGGAACACATTAATGCATGAATGTCCGAAGCGGGACATTATGCAGGGGTGGGGTTTTTCCTTTTTTGGAAGTTTTTCCTTATACGATGTGAGGGTCTAAGGACAGAGGTTGTCATACTGATATTCTGTACAAACAGTGAAGTCCACTGAGACAAATGTAAAAAAATTTGATATTGGGCTATATAAATAAACATTCATTCATTGATTGATTGATTGATTGATTGATTGATTGATTGATTGATTGATTGATTGATTGATTGATTGATGCACAATAGTACTTTTCAATGCCAATACTTTTGTACTTGTATTCTCAAGTAAGATCCTGAATGCAGGACTTATTTTTACACTGTAGTATTTTTCTACTTTTACTTAAGGAACAAATCTGAGTACTTCTTCCACCTCTGGAGTCTGCAGACAAGACAATGAAAAATATGTCCGGAAGAATCAGGCTTAAAAAAACAATAAGAAAAATCTACAATAAAACAACAGGTAATACATTTGTATACATCCACGAGATCTGGATTAAGGGCTTTATGCATTTGCCTAACTTGGTCCTTCATTTAAAAACATTTTCAGGTGACGTTGTGCAGTCCTAAAGGAGACCGGGTGGTGAAGACGGATGACTGTCATGCGTGCCACAGATTTACGGTAAGTTAAACAAGATAACTGAACCT